GTATGCGTGAGACGAATCGAGCTAATCACCTAATCACCAGCAGGCCCCTTGACACCCGAGGTCACTGGAGTTAGATCGAACCGAGCCCCTCAGAACTGCAAAACAAGGACGTCCAGCTACAAAGAACTGCTTTCAGGATGAATAACAGAGCTGCAAGCCACAGCAAGGATAGAGTTTCAAGCGCATCTAAACGCAGAAGCAGAAAGAATGATGGGAAGAGAACAGAAGGTACGTACAGAGTAGAAGTAGAGTCTGTAAGCAGGTTCCTCATCCATATCCGGCCCTGACATGCTACCAAATTTGTTTATGGCAACCTGTTTTTCCCCTTAACCAGCATCTCCGCTGCACAAACAGCCTGTCATTGTTGTTTAACAGCTGGACCAAAAATAGCCCCGTGGTTGAATGTGACTCCTGCAAGATTCCTCTGCCAATCAGCAGGACGGACTTCTCCTGGCCATAGGGACCGTCTTTCTGCAACGTCTCGGCTGCAGAGCAACTCTGCCGCTACTGTTTTGCGGCGTAGTCACCCTCCACAGCTTGGCCGAGTATCGTGCAGAGCTCCTCTCTCTGTGCAGTCATGTGCACACGGCAGGCCGCCCACTCGTCCAGCATGTGCTGGAGGCGGCAGGGCTGTGTGTGTCAGCGCGTCTGCATTGGACACGACGCAGACTCAATGCCCGATTGGAGCTCGGCGGTGCGTAACTCACACTGGGGATATAGATGTCAATAGAGACGCGGTAACAAGATGTGGAGCAGACACAGCCGCGAGGATGACAGCGTGCAAAAATATCTACGGTTTGAAGACAACACGATTTAGGTCAGTATGTAACATTCACCATTTTGTAAACGAATTATGTTATACATTATTAAATTTTTTTAACTAATGAAAAATATAAAAAAATTTATATATATATATATATATATATATAATTTCAACGGGTTCATAACTATAATATGTGCATTAAAGCTTGAATAAGTAAACTGCTTTTTCAGTCAATTTTGTCAATCTGACATTGATTTAGCAATGAAAAAAATGAGTAAGTGTACTTGGAATAAAACAGTTGGTTGCTTGATAAATAACTAGCTCAGGTAATTTGCTCTCAAATATTAAACAAACCGAAGATTGTTGAATAGTTGTTTACATTAGACGCGTGCATTAATTAGCAAAAAAAATAAAAACCTGGAAAAAAAAACTGAAACAGATGCTCAGCAATACTTTAAGACCTTTAATTGCTTTTCAAAAACTTTTTCAGGCCTGGAAAACTCCATTTTAAAATTCCAGTTTCTGAATTGGGAATTCTACATGCGTGAAAAGAATGAAAATGTCAAATTCATGACTACTACCACTTTGATGCTGATGCTGTCTAAACAAGTGGAAACAGACAAACCCGGTTCCACAGACAATATTTACCATAACTCTTTCCCTCTACATTCACATTTTGTAAAAACAACATTATAGATCAATTAATTCAACAAACTGATGCCTGAGTTCAAGTTCTGTCTCAGTCTTCCATGTTCATCATGTATTTATTTGTCAAGCAACTTTATAATAAGCAGGATAAACTACAATCAGACGGTCATAAATCGCAAAATAAACACTGACACGTAGATCAGGTTTAGGACCTGAAGGGCGTTTCTGAAGTCTCTGTGCTCTCTTTTTTTTCACATATTAAAATCATTTAGACCCAATAATTTCATGTCTAAGGGTTTATTTATTTGAAAAGCAGCCATGCAATTGTAAAAATAAATAAATAATAAAAAACTATTGGATGCAAGATCTAGTCATTTACAATACCAGTTACATATAGTTTTTACTGCATTTTCTCGTTATGTACTGTTATGCTAATGCTATGTTAATGTTATGTTGCATTGTATTACTGTTATGTAATATGTTGACATGTTCAGGTTATGTACTGTAATGCTAATGTAATGTTGCATTGTGTATGTATTGTAATACTATGGCGCCATGTTAACGTTATGTTGTTATGTCATGGTGGCACTGTTGTTACTTGTTAAGATGTCATGTTAATGTTGTGTACTGTTATGGTAATGTTATTTTGCACTGTTACTGTTATGTGTCGTTATGTCATGTTGAGTTATATTACTGTTATGTCATGTTCTGTAGCATTATATTACTGTTTTGTATTACCGTATTGGCCCGAATATAAGACGATCCTGATTATAAGACGACCCCCATTTTTCCAGATGTACTTCTTGGAAAAAAGCTTTTTAAAAAACAAATCTAGTTTTTTCTCATTAAAACACATTTTGTCTTCAATTATTTTCATATTGCATATTTTTCCTATTTTAATTTTTGTTATGAAAGCATGGTAAAAACTGGTAAAATGTACCAACAATCACATTTTAAAAAATATACACTTTTTGATATACCATTAAAAAAAAAAAAAAAAACAGGTTGCCCATCTGAATTAGGACATTTAGGCTATCCCTCTAATAGTAGCCTACCAAAATCGTATTAACAGTAGAAGTTAAATCTTACTGTAGTCTTCAAATCTGAGTACTGTCTTACGTTTTAAAATCACAAAGGGAGTTTGGTCCCATCAGGCTAACATGACAGTCACGACTCATGCAGCTGTAAGGTTTTCTTTTTCTTTAGTTTTTACTTGCGATCTTTACAACACGCATTTCATGGCACAATCGTTTGATGAGTATTTGACACCACCTATTGTTGTGGGTGTATTATTGACATGTCAAAGTCTAGACTCTAGACCCTGAATATAAGACGACCGCGTTTTTTCAGATGCATTTCCAAGAAAAAAAAAAAAGTCTTATATTCGGGTCAATACGGTATGTTGTCATGTAAATTATATATTGAATTATATTACTTAAGTAGTCATGTTTTTGTCATGCTAATATTATGTACCGTTAATATGATATTTAGTGGTCAACCGATATAGGTTTTTTGACAGCCGATGCCAATATCTAAGAGAGCAGGGTGGCCGATGGCCAACATAAAGCTGATAGATAGATAGAATTTTTATTTTAATTAATATTTAAGACATTTTTAATCATTTTAAAATGAATTAAAAAATAAATGTGTCAAATAAACATACTTATACTTTAGATGAGCAGTTTGTGTGCATTGGGAATCATATTTTTTCCAAATAAAGCCAAGGTAACACACCAAATGCACACTTCACAAGATCCTACAGCTGGATTCAACTAACTCTGCAAGGTTTGTGAAATGAAATGTTTATTAGACATTCAAAGATTTAATTTATAAATTATATCGTTTAAACGATATAAATGCGTATTTGCTGAATGGTGACGGTAAACGAGAAAGTATTATAATCTTTGCCTAATAAAATATATATATATATATATATATACACACACACATACATAACAGTTCTAAATTAGTAGTAGGGCTGTGCGATATTGAAGAAAAATGCGATATGCGATAACTCATTAAATAATGCAATATTCGATATGCGATACGATAATGCTTAAAGTGCCACATGCTCAGATGAAACCGTTTTACTCAGCTGTTGCTGAGTCAGTTCTGTGAACTTCTATAACTATCTTGTGTTTTATATATATATATATATATATGGTTATTTGTATGCATGTACCAAGAGTTCCTGTAAAACAACAACAAATTCCTTGTGTTTGCGCACACTTAAGTGGTGAATAAAGCTCATTCTGATTCTAATAAGAAAGCACCCCTACAACAACTTCTGAAAGTGTATTTAGGCATTTTTATCATTTATAAATTCATCTGGCTTTTTTTTTTTGGGGTGGGGGAGGGGGGTCAGGTTGTTTGTTTGTTGTCTTTATAAAACGAAAAAAAAAAAAATGGAAAAAAAAAAAAAAAAACCTTCTGAAAGTGAACGGTATGCGTTTTACTCGAGCATTACATAAAAATGTCATTTTAACATGAGTTTAAGAACTAAATAATAAAAAGGAAAAATAAAACACTGCTTAGTATTTACTCTTTGAATTCAATATGCACCGATTCTTATTTAAACTACAAAAGTTATTTAGGTAAGAGCAGTGAGTGGTTTTCTCTTTGTCTTTTGTTCATGGCCCCAAATATTGCAAGCTGTAGCGATATGCATACTGCGATATGTAAATTTGCGATATTTCGATATATTGCACAGCCCTAATTAGTAGTAGACAGACTTCCATCCGTATCAGATAGAACTGTTAAACTGTGAGCGCAGGCGCTGCCATTCTCAACGCCTTCAAAATAAAAAAAAGTCGCATCGGCCAAACAGAAAAACTTATCGGCCGATGCCGATACTTGGGGGAAAAAAAAAAGGCAAATATCGGCCTTGGCGATATATTGGCCGACCACTAATAATATTATATTGTGTTTTTGTTACTGTCATGTAATGCCATGTAAACATGTTGCATTTTATTACAGTTATTTTGTCACATTCATGCGAGGTACTTTTCTGTTATGTTCTGTTGTGTGTAATGTTATGGTTGCATGTTGTATTGTTCATCATCTGAGTCTTTAAGATCCATTATGGGCTGACAAATTATGACTGCCCACAATACCCTGAATATCTGATGTTACGGAAAACAAAAGAAACCTTTCAGGTCACAATAAGACACACAATATAGCACTAGCAAATACACTCTCTTGCCTCAGGTGTGTGAGAATACGCACACTATATCACAATCCATGTGAGTGGATCACACCTGCACAAGCTCATATAGACTTAAGCACACTGCTGCCTACCCCGACAACATTTGTGTTGACAGATCCAGTGTTATAACCGTAACAAGTACGCATACACTGTAAGAAGCGTTCAGAATGACAGCCGGCATCAAAACTTTACCACAGTTTAGTATTGTAGCAACAATAACTGTAGCAACTGTGCTGTTTTGAAGGAAAAGCACTGCTCCCATAGTAACTCTGTTAGGGTAATGCTCTGACAGCATTTCTGGGCGTTCAGAGAGCGCCTGTGATGCCCAAAAATGCTGTCTAGGTAGGCAGCTCGCTATGTTTTGAGACAGCTGTTGTTTGTTACCTTTAGGGCGATGTTGATGGGCGTATTCCTGCCTTTCCCTCCTCCATGAGATGATCCAGAGCTGTTACTGGCCGATCTGTCTCTGCCGTCCCCGCTCTGACCCGACCTCAGCCCGAGCCGGTGCTGCTGACCCACGCCGCGACGGCGCCCATCGTACCGGCCGTCCTTCGACATGAGCCCGATGTCAAACGAGCGACTCTGAGCGGACGCGTACTCCGCAACCAGAGGGCGAGAAATTAAACAGGCCTCCTCCTCTTTTACACTGAACACTCACGGACCACACAGAGCGCGGGAGAGACTGTGACGCCACCCGCTGGACTGGAGGACCGGGCTGATGACGCGGACTTCACCTGCGCAGACCGTCACCATGGTAACCGCAGTGACAGTTCCCGCCAAAACAGCTACCTTAAATAAATAATACATCATTTTCGATGATTTATGTTATCGTTTTCATAATAGTGAGAACATGTTATTGATCGACCACTGACTAACAACACAGAATAAAAAACAACAACATAAAACTGTAAAATGACTTTAACTCCGTCTACATTTTTTTGTAATTTTCTGTTTTAAAATTACTTTAAAACAAACATAAAACTGCAATATGGCGATGCCATATCAAGTGCATGATGTAACATGTAAAGTCAATAAAGTATCACAATAATATAATCATTAATCATCATAATAGAACAGTTGAAAAGTAGATTGCAAATGAACCATAAAGTCTCTCATAAAATAATTTATTTTTTAGAGATAATGTAAATACTGAAAAGTAATTATTTTCGCACTCTGGGCACAAAATTATTTATGATTGTAACGATGAAATGTGATTTTTAGGCCTAAGTCAGTATGTATTTTAATATAAATTATATTTGGTATGGTATACTTAATACAAATATTATAAAATAATTGTACATAATCTAAACATATACTTATATTATTGTATATATATATATATATATATATATATATGAACAGTAATATTTATATATACACACACACACTTTAGATTTTGTTACTTTTAATTATTAAAAAAAATACTTTTGATATTGCGGTGAAGGATTTTTTTTCTGTTTGTAGATTTTGATTTAAAGCAAGTATTAAAACTACCTTTATTCACTTTTAAATCTAACCATTATATCTACAATTTTAAATATATCACTAAGAACTTGACATCTCTTTGAAATACATTTTAAAATGACAAAAACCTTTAAACAGCTAAGAGTAAAAGCAACTTTCTAATGTGCAAAAACAGCCAATTTAATGTTTCAGTTATGACCTCTTCAGCATGTGGTTTTAGTGATAAACCGCTGTTGTTTTTAATAGTCAAAGCTACATGAAACCAAAGTCCAGGACCCAATAAGAAATTCAATTTCACTGACACACGCATATATATATATATATATATATATATATAGACTATTTCAGGAAAAACACATACATTTGAAATTATACATAATCTGAAAAGATTTTAAGATTGTTTTCTTGCTGCTTCATGTGTGCTGCAAAAGCTACACTGAAATAGTCATTGCATTTACAGCCATCTTTAACAAAGGCCTCGTCATTCACAAACAGACATTTGCAATCACACAAACATCCAATCAAAATACTAATTTTATCCACTGCATTTTTTTATATTAAAATCTAGTTAACTGATCCATTGACATGTACTTATTCCCAGAACAGAAGCTGCCATTTTGAGAAAATATTTACCTAAATTGACAAGAGCTGCCAGAAGTTAAAATTGACCAATTCTCTCAAAAACTTGAGACATTGCTATTAAAGATCCCCCAAATCCTAACGTCTCAGTTCAAGTCTCATTTCCTCTTAAACAATAAAAATCATCAGTCATACGTACTGTAATGATGAGCTTATAGTTAGAACTAAAAACATTCATCTGAACAGGATAAAACTAACTAATCAAGACCACATGTGATGCTTTCCTCCCAAATGACAAAGAAAAACCAATTCGAACAATTCTGATACATTAAAATCATGTATTAATGTCCATGGAAATAAAAAAAACATTGGGGTAACACTGAATGAAACGGAAGGTCTACCCTTCAGAGGTAGGTAGAGCTGTACATGATAATTCCTAAAACAGTTTCCAAAGCAGGAGCGCAGGAGAGGCGGAATGAGGGGGGAAACACAGAATATAGCAGATATGCAGTGATTTAAGCTAGTTCATGTGCTACAATTACCAGACATTTCAGAAAGAGACAAAGCATTATTTTTTTTCCCACAGAAAAGCAATTTAAAGCACACAGTATTTTACATTTCATCTATACTTGTATATAAAAACAAACTAAGAACAGGAAGTTAAAATCTCCAAATTAGGACTGACATGGATAAATGTTAGTAAGCCATCAGTAGTGTGTATAGAAAACGTATGCATACATCAAGTCATTTGTTTTAAAACATTTGTCCAGAGCCCCGAAAACCCCCTCCCTCCCTCCCACCCAACATAAAATGACGCCCATGTAGGCAAAGTCTGTAGTTAAAATCCTTATGGCAAAGAGTTTGTGGCAAATTCTCCTTTCCCCATGGTGTAAAATCCCTACTGCTTAAAAACAGTCAGGCTGGCAAGAAATGATCTTTCGCTGCGGCATTCAGTCTGGGGGTAGAAGGTCATGCAGGCGAAATTGCTGCACAATGTGCGGCCGAACGTCCTGGTTCTGGAACAAAAACACAAACATGCCATGTCAACAAAAACAGATAGTTGTAAATGACACCTTAGACATGAGTGTAAAATTATTTTGAACTTAAAGGTGCAGTGTAGGCATGGGACGATAACCGGTTTCAAGGTATACCACGGTTTGAAAAAAGTCACGGTTTCAAAACCACTAAAATTTTCGGTTATACCGTTCCTCAGTTGTGTGCAGCGAAGAGCGTAACGAGTCACACGACCCCTCCTCCTCCGGTTGGTGCGAGCAGTCAGTGAGAGTCGAATTTTTCAGGTAACGTAGACTAACCATGTTCCGTACACAATGATGTTCTGTACAGATGACGTTTTAGCTCCGATCGCTAAATAAATACTTCCAGGTCATACATAAACTACATATCTGTGTCATCTTCATTTCTCCCTCTTTCACCCCTGATCAAGACCCATCCGCCGTTTGTTTCAGTGTTGAAATAAATACTATTTGGCTTGCTACCGAGGCAGATAACATGGCTAATTAACTAGCTAACGTCAACTAGTTTGCTCCCTCACGTTACTTCACCGAGTGGGGAATAGCAGACAAAAGTACTAAGTTTCTGCGATTTAGTACAATAATTAAATTTAGCTACAACTCCAATAAATAATGTTATGAGATTGTTTTAAATGCATTTATGAATATACGAATAAGAAATGTTGAGGGGGAAAATGCATACTTTTCAACATACTTCTCAACTAAACTACCAGTAAGTGGCGGTAAATCACTTAATGAGTGAGTCATTGAGTCATTCATTCAACTGATTGAGTGTTTTATCATGCTGGTATCTTAAAGGGGTCATATGATGCGATTTCAATTTTTCCTTTCTCTTGAAGATCTGGAAAGATATTCTTTATAAAAGTTAAGAGTCAACCACGCCTACCTAAAACAGCTCGTTCTAACACGCCCCCACATGTCTACGTCCCTATGTGGAAATATTAGCATAATGCCGCCCAAATGTGCACGCAAAGAAGGCGTGGTTTCAGGAACCGCAGCAGTGTTGATGCAGCCATATCAGGGAGACGCTGCGTTTCAGTGCGAGAGCAAAAGCACTTTATTTGGCCTTCCGGAAGAAGATGCAATTAGGAATCATTGGTTAAGATTTATTTACAACAGAACAGCACAACACAGATGCTCGAATTTGTGAAAAGCATTTTATGGACGAGTACAAGGCTGGCTGTGCACAAAGGCTATTTCTAAAAAAAAAAAAAAGGGTAAATTCCGACTTTGCTATGACAATCTGGCGCTTCTGAATCAGCGACTGTAAGTATGTTTTGTTATTAGTTTAAGTATTTGCTATCAAAAATTACATAATGAAGGTATAGTCTTTACATTACGACAATATAATGTATGACATTAAATATGGATAATACTTTTGTAAATAAATGTTTACTGTTAAAAGGCTTTTTCCTCTCTTTTTTTAAAATATTTTTGTCTTAAAATTATGATAGTGTGTTTTGAGTAATAATAGTAATAATAATAAATTATTGTTATACCATTGTTTCTAAAAATTAAATGGCAAAGAAATAAAATAATTTCATATAAAAGTAAATTTTATTATTTAAAAACAAAAATTAAAATCAATCTCATAACGAGGGTATAGTCTTCACAAAAAGACATTTATAATGGTATGATACTAAGTCTGGGAAATACTCATAAATTGGCATAGCAAAAACATACTGTTAACAATTTTTTTTTAATCAAAAGCACAGGTATTATAAATAGACTATTTTAAAGAAAGGGTGTGTCCGAGTTAAAATAATGTATTCTTTTTTTAATTATTATTTTCAATGATAATTTCTAAGAATTAAATTGCAAAGAAATCCTAATAAAAAACCCTGGATTTTTGCAAATGGCATATTTGTGTCTCCAAAGATTAAACTAGTATAGGAGAAAGTATTTCTAAAACAATATCTTGAAAATAAAGCATATTATCCTTCAAAAGCAGCACACTCAAGAGACAAGACGCACGTACCAGTTCTACCAGCTTCTCCAAAAACGGCACCAGCTTTAGGAGCTCATTGTCATTCTTGTCCACAAACCAACTCTCAATGGGGATCCCATTGGAAAGCTGCAATGAGAGGAACACATCCTGAGCTTTACATACTAATAACTCACCACTTCAATGGAGGTGAAACTCAAGGCGGCTTCACAAACCTGGTAGGCAAAAGCCTGAGGTGAGTTGTCTATGATCACCGTCTTGGAGAGATCTCTCCCGAGGATGTTAAGGTCTTTGATGTAGTTGCCTTGGACGCATACGCAGTGTTCGCGAAACAATCTGTGCCTGAAATACCAGAGGAAAGATATTTTGAGCTTAATACTCACCTAAAACATCTTACAACCTGAGAATCTAGACACACATCTGTTCCCATCACACCTACACACTATTAGTGGAAAAGGAAACATGCAGCTTTAATGCCATTAAAAGTCACTTTTTATATTGAGAGGGCACCTGCTTGAGAACTGACCTAACCAGCTGTTTTTTAGGATCCAGGATGTTCAGCAGCTTGTCAGCATACACCTTCTTGGAAGCAGTAAAGAGGATAATCTGCAGATAATTCAAGGTTACATTATTGCCAGTCATAAATGAAAGCAGTAGATCACATCATTGGCAGGATATTCATTAGTTAGAACATTTAAAAAAAAAAGCAGGACTGAACACGCACATGAAGGACCAACAACAGAGGACTCTTATGCAAATGTATTATTATCACTTTGAAATCATTTTTGCAACAAAAATCTGATTTGTCTGAAAACAAAAACAAGACAAGACAGAAGAACAAAACAAAACAAAACTTAGAAATAGCCAGATAATTGGCACCAAACATTGGTTTGAAGTTATGGGAAACTTATTTAACATGTTAATTAAAAAAAAAAAAAAAAAAAACTTGTTTGATCAAGTTCGGTAACGGATATAAATGGTTGTAATTTGTGCAAAGTGGAAGGGGTTGCATGCAAAATGTGGGACTCCACAAATATTTTTATTTTTTTCCACAGGGTTATTATCATTGACTAAATCTACAAGCACTTTTGTTAATTGAAATAAAGCTAAAAGAAAAAGAAATGTTGAAAACATTAAACAATTCATAAATGTTGCATTGGCAACAAACTGAAATAGGGTCAAATTAAAGCACTAAAACTGTTACCTGGAAATAAATCAACTAAAACTGAAATAATAATAAAAAGAAAAAGAAAAAACACAAAAACTGATGAAGGTCAATAAAGAAAAGCACATAACAAAATTACTTAAAATTAAACAAATTAAAATAAAAAGCCGATTCAAATAAAAAAAAAATCCATAATAATATATAAATAATCTAACACTTTCAAAAATGAAACCAACCAGTTCAACAGATTGTAGTGCTTGATGTATTGATTGGTACTTTTCATGTGCAGTTTTTTGTTAGATAATAATTAACACATTTTATTGGATTTGTGCCTTTATTGCATTAAAGTAATGGGACACACATTTGTATGTTTTTTGAATGAATGAATAAACATGCCAGCTGAATTATGGTATTAAAAACAAAACAAAAACAATGTTTAAACAAAAAAACTAAACAAAACCTCACTCACCTCATAAATTTGAGACATGCGTTCCAGGAATTCTCTAAAGAATGGCCGTAACCGGACATACACCTTTAGGAATAAGAGAGCAAACCACTGTTAGAGCTACATATAAACCAGTGCAAAAAAAAAAAAAAAAAAGGTACAAAACTTGAATCACTGAGAGGGCTTTTGTACCTGGTAAATGACATCTTGGAAAAGCACAGGGAAGGTCAAGGCTGCATCCTCCAATTCATTGAGGCTGCAGTGGACCAAAGTCTCATCCTAAAATAAAACCGGCACCTTAATTTTTGCATCATAAACACCTTGCATTAAGAAGCTAAGACTAATGATGGATGGCAACTTACTAGATCCAGGACGAGAGAGAACTCGGGCGTGCTCCTGGTTTTCAGAGGGAGTGCAGGCTTACGGGTGAGCTGCTCTTCAGACAAGGGTGGCACGTGTTTGATGAAGAAATAACTGGAAGACAGAGGCAAGTTAGCACACAAGCATGTGGCTATACTGAGGTTATTTAGATCAAACCTGTAGAAATTTGGCTCACGGGTCAAAAACTTCCCAGTCCTCTTCGTAAGTCCCTTCTGCTGGAGGTGACGGCGGGACATTCGGATAACTGCTGTTGGATCCTACGGCTAACCGAGAGAAAATATGAGGATTGTCAACTTTAAATAGTGGTACAGCTAAAAAAAAACAACAACATCCCAGACACTCACCAGTTAGCGGTGGCATATCAGCCTCTGTGACGATCTCTCCTTCCTCTACCGATGTGTCTATGAGAGGCAGCGGTCTAGGGTTTAGTGCAGGGTCAAAGGTCAGGTCTCGGCCATCTGTGGTAGTGCTGGTCGGGGTTTCCTCGAGCTGCTCTATGTCAAGCTGCTTCACGATCTCCTCAGCCTCCACCGACTGCCCCAGGGAATCTGAGCCTGCCGTAGCTGGAGGACAAGAGAGAGAGAGTCGGTTTAACAGCGTGATGAAAACAGAAAGAGCTCAGAATGAACAAAAAACGCTGCAATTTTGCTGGTAAATGCATTGTTTTGGTTCACTGGATTCATATTGCAGCAGGTGCCACCGATAAGATGGCTGCACCTGAACCTTAGGGTCTCCGACAGCAGTCGCTCCAGCTCAGAAATGCTGCCGTTTGAAATTTTAATTCTGCTATATTATGACAGAAATACTAGTTCTATTTGCTTCTTTAGACATTTTGATGTGACTTCTGATGGTCTTCATTTGGTTTTATGGTCATGTGAGCGCTGGACCTCTTTTAAAGGCAACATGAAACCATATTTACAACCAACGTTACTTCCATACGTGACACATTTCTAATTCAGATTAGAATAGTGAGGGGGGGGAATCAAGAAAGGCTTTTTCAGAGCATCATTGTGTTTCCCAATGACAAACATGCTTTTCCAAATGTATCTTCAAGTGCTGTAACTTTTTAAATTAGCCAGCATTAAATCAGTGCTGATTATTTGGCAATTCTTGGCAAAGACTTGCAGATAAAAAATTTTTTAAATCTAAATTCAGTGACTTCTGAATTTCAATTTCATGTCTTCAGAACATTCTTAAGATTCTTTCATAACATCATTTTTAAATTTGGTAATGATTGAAATTCTTACCTTTAATCTTGTTTAAAAAAAAAGAGGATGAAAATAGCAGTTAAGAAGAATTTTCTTTTTAATGTTTTGTGAATCCGGCCCCAGGAATGGGCGTAAAGAAAATAAATATGGTCAATATTGAGTTCATGATGACTTTAAATGTGATTTAAAAAAAAAGAAATGTTGTACATCAAAAGGTCTGAATAGGCGGAACTAACTACATTTTATTATGATAATAACTCAGTGTCTTTTAAGTGCATACATTTATAAGCTATCAAGTGAGTTCACAGTCCCTTACAGTTTTTGTTGGCGGGTGAGAAGAAGCTAAAAACAGGAGAGAAGATGGTTCCCAGGAGGGTGGTGCGGGGCGGACTGCTCGGAGTTTCCGTCTGCACCTCCAGCTTCCCATTGGGCTTCACTGGTTTACTCTGACCTGTCATGGTATCTGAGCAGAAGAAAATGAGAAACATTCAACACCAAGAGAATGCGGGCAGTCGGCATAACTACTCACAACAATGTTTAATTCACATACAGAAAGTTTATCCCAAAATGTTATCATCAATAACTCACCCTCAAGTTGTTTAAAGCCTGTATGAGTTTCTTTTTTCTGTTGAGCATAAAAGATGATATTTTGAAGAATGTTGGTAACCAAACAGTTGACCGTAGCCATTGCCTTCCAATAGTATTTTTCTTTCCATACTATGGAAGTCAATGGCTACTGGCAGCTGTTTGATTACCCATATTCTTCAAAATACTTTCTTTTGTGTTCAGCAACTGAAAAAAAATTCATACAGGTCTGGAACAAATTGAGGGTGAGTAATTGATGACAAATTTTCATTTTTGAATGAACTATCCCTTTAAAGGAGCAGCATCCTGATTATCTGTGAGGGTCAGCACTCTTACCTCCATTGACAGGGCCTTTCCTGCGGGTTCTGGGGTTTGCTCTGCTGGGCAGGTTCCCAGCTGTCGGAGTGGATGTGATCAGATTACTGTCCGAATCGCAGTCTACACGGCTTCTCTTAGCAGGAGTGCACTGCTCCACCTGACATTAAGAAACACAGCTGAAACCAAACCACTTTTGACTCCACAAAGTCATCTCAAACACAAGTTAAAATCCTAACCTTGACAGCATTGCCTCTGATGAACCGTTTGATGGTGGAGAAAATACCCGTGTCTCGCTTCTGCATCTTGGCGTCTTCGGAGGACAAAGTGTGTTCCACCTCGGAGTGCTTCCTCTTGGTCTTGGCGGTCCGGGCGGATGGGGTGGTGCTCCGCTGCTGAGATGCCTTACGCACTCTCAGCCTCATTGTCCCAAAAGTCACATGTAAGACTGGAAAAGACAAAAACAGTTAATCTACTATTTAAAAAAATGCACAGAGCTGCACCATGCGTATTTGCATAAGTTTCATCACCGCTACATTAGTAGCACTTCAGCTGCCAACACGGCTGTTGGGAAATTCCATTGCGGAGATCAGTCATGGCAACTCAAGGAAAACAATCAGATCTGTCCCCTGGTGCCATTGACAAGAAAGGTCTCCACAGCACCCTACGGGCTTTCTTTGAGAGTGCCAAAAATGACGGGGAAATCATCACCCACTCGATGGGGAATTATATCACCGTAAACGATTGACTATGATGGGTCAAACCTGGTTGCAAACCTTGACACAGATGCTCTTGCGTATTTGGGATTTGTGAGATTATCTAATTGGAATAGATATTCAGCAATACATTTTGGACTTAGTGTAGTGAACAATCACATGCTCCAACAAGTTCAATGGTGACGTTTATGTAGGCAACCAGACTCAAATCTAGCTCAATTGTTCTCTGCCCCCTCTTCACTATCCTATCACTAAAAATGACAAAAATCCCTATAAAAAATTAGGGATGCACGATATATCGGCCACCATATCGGTATCGGCCGATAAATGCTCATTTTTTCTGTTATCGGTATCGGCCTGATAAGAAAATTTGGCTGATATCTTAAAGCCGATAAATAATGCATTATTTCCTTCAGAGACACTTCAGATGCGCGCTGTTCGTTTGCAGCCTTTTGTGCAATTGTACGTTGTAATATTGTGTTTATTTGATGTATATCTGATTTATCTCATATAGAATGCGTTTGGTTAAGTTAAAAGAGCGCTTCAGTTTACCGGTGATCATCTTTAGCTCAGCACACGCAGCCCAAACAGCAGTGCACAACATTAATAACTATGATTGGGAATGTCATGTATATAACATTCTAATGAGAACATTATTATAATAAAACATTGTGCATTCTTTGGGTTTAGTTGCTGTGTTTCAGCACGTTG